AGTGGAGCAGCAGTGAGCCAAGACCAGTATCGTAACGGGTTGGGCCGCAATACTGTCTGATAAAATCAGTCCGTAGCCTTAAACGCACTTGTTGTATGGATGAATGGAAAAAGAAAAAGGTGCAGTACATTGCTGTCGCTTGGCTGATAGCCTGTATCAATATATTTCTTGGTCTTTCAGGTATATTAGAGGCACACAGCTCCAAGTCTGGTCCATGGGCTTTATCCGGAATTTGAAAGGGGGACACGATATAATTTTTTTTTTCTCAGTGACATAATTATCTGCTAAAGTGACATGAATTTTAGGGTAATTAAAATTTAAAAATTGAAGTCTGAAATCTAAATTCGTTAAATTATGAAGTATTAAATCTACTGCATTTGAGTACATATCACATTCAATGATAAGTAAATAGATTATCATTTAATTAATTCAAATGTTTAATTTTTAGTTATCAAACGGTCTGAATATATTAAGATCTGAATTCATTAAATTTAAATATTGAATTGGATAAGTAAACAGGGCCTTAGTTGCTAAAGTGACGTAATTATCTCCTAACGAACTTAAAAAGTATTCAATCTCATATTAATGTAGCTTTTCATAAGTAGGATTCCAAACCATCAAATCTAACTTAGGTGTTTGGTTTCGTAATTTGCTTTCCCTCTCTTCTTGTAATTACCTTTTAGACCAGTCCACTTAAACATGATCTCTGAACAGTATTGTTGGAATTAAAAAGGTTCACAAAATTTGATTAATCCATTTATGAGGTTATACTTCTTTTGAGAAATCTCTGAATGTCTTTGTGATGCGACACAAAACATTTGCGGTTTAACCCAACAAATCAAAGTTTAATGGCTAAGGAAAACGTTCACTATTTCAACAAACTTGGTGCACTAAGTAGCACTAGTAAAACTGTGAGGCCCCAGTTCGTTCTACGTTGATATATTCATTAATTGGGCGGTAACGTTTGGTTTTGGGAGTATTTCGAAAACCCTAAGTAGGGATTAAGATTTAAACCCTAAGTTCCGGTTAAGATTGAAAACCCGTTTTCCTACATTTTCTTTATTAGAAAATTCCCCAGATAATTTTTATTGAGTAAATAGAGTTTTTAGATGATTTTTCTAGTATTAGTTAGTTTTTGAGAAATTAAGAACGTATATCGGACGTGGGACCCACTAGTGCGAAAAGTTCGGAAAAATTCGGCCAATTAGGTTAAATTCCGGATACTGTGTAAAATTTATCGGGTGTTAAGAGATAAGTAGAGTGTGTGAAATGAGTGATGTGAGAGAGAAAAGGAAGATAAGAATGCATTAATGAGTGTGACAAGTGTCACAATATGATTGGTTGGACTTTAAGAATTACTATTCACAATTTTGACTTTTTTGACCAAAGGTTAAATATCTCAAAAATCATTCAAAATTCACCATTTTTCTCTCCTTGGTGGCTGGCTCTCTAAGCTCAAAGAAGGGAGAAAATTTTCCATCTCTCAAGCTTCCATAAGCTTCAATCTTCCATAAACAAAAGCTTAGACTAGATTTCACTCCATAAAATCTTATCTTCTAGTGCTAGTAAGGGTTGTGGTGAAGTTTGTTTGAAGGTCTAAGGTGCCCAACATCTTCCTCTCTCTTGGTTCTTGGTAAGTGAAGCTTGAAACACCCTACTACACCTAATGATGCTTATGTTGTGCTTATTAGTGATAAGAGTGCTGAAATTTCTGGTTTTAATCTTGGTTTGAAGTGATTTGGTGAAGTTTTCCATTTTATGATGATTTTTCTGGTTTAATTGGATTATGATGGTGTGGTTGAATATGATGAATGGTAATAGCCTATAATGACTCTAGTGAGTGTGAAATGTGGATAAATGCAACCAATTTTGGATTTGGTGTGAAAATTGAAAAGTTAGGGTTCCTAAATCCCCAATTCTGTCCGGTTTTGGATCATAGGGTTAGAGGCAGAATTTGACTTTGCTCAAAACATGAAAGTTGTAGGTATTGATGTGTTTGAGGTGCCTACAAAATTTCAGGTTATTTGGATTAATGTAGAATGAGATATGACGAAATTACTGTAACTGTTCTACTTTGGTCAGAATGCGAAAACTGCGTTGGTATTTGGCTATTTTGGCTAGAATTAGTTTGGATTTTGAAGTTGGTGTCTTCTGATGCAATGTAGCTGGATGTCTTATCTAACATATGCCTTTGGAATTTCGGCATTTGGACTTGTATAGACTAAGTTATAGTCATTACAGTTTTATGTGATTTGCAAACCTGTTTTGGTAATTCTGGATTTGTATTTTGCATATTTGACCTAGTTGTGCTAGGATTTGGACTGAGTGGCCTTCTACATTGTTGTACCCCTGTTCCTTAGCTTCGAAACGGTGGGTCTTACACCCCCATCCGATAACCGTAGTGAATTTGGTGCCATTACCGCATATTGAGGTCAAATACGGTTTGTGATTCTAGTACGTTTTTGGAAAGTTTATGGCTGGAACTTTGGCTTCACATTTGACTGAGTTACAAGCTGTTTGGGCTTCTGACCAAAACACCAAACTTATAGCCCTATATCAGAGCTTTCTAACGCCCTTGGAATTTCATGAATCGGATTTATAAAACCTGAGATATAGCCGAACAAACAAGGCCTGCCCGTGAAAATGACCAGAAATCTGTTTTGGTCCTGATGACCAATTTCCGTTCCGAATTTGGATTTCCGACCTTCATGAAAGTTGTTCCATTTGGAATGAACTATCTAACTGCCAATTTTCAGCTCTTTTGACCATGTGTAGCATAGAAAACAGTTCGTACTCAAAACTGACCATTTGTGCATTGGCCAGATTTCGTAAGTGATTGTGTTTGGTTCATTTGGGACTAAAGCCTCCAGTTTCAGTTCTGGATGTCTTCATAACAGTTGTTGTTCATCCTTTAAGCTTCGATTTGGCATCTCATCCGCCTTAATCCGATATTCGTAGCTCAACTTATGGGTGAACTAGAAATGAGTATCAAATCTGCCGTTTGCCGTTTCCGCACGCGTGCGTGTGCCCTTTCCGTACTTGCGTGTGCCGATGTTGCTGTTTTATTTGTTTTGGGCACGTTAGTGGCCGTTTATGACATCATGTGATGCAATCTTCTATTTCAGATCGTGGTGAGTTAGGCGGAGCTGGTGGGCCCTACTAGCGAACACGCACGAAGTGATTTTCACGTTTGTACTACTTTTGTACTTTGTGTAAGTATTCAAGCCGGTTTGGTGTGTTTTCTTTGCTATGTGTTTGAGATATGTGAAAAGGGCACTTAGGCGAGAGTGTACTTTATCGCACTCGACCTAAACCCTAATTTGAATGTATAATTGTACTTGGCATATGTATATGAACCTTTTGGAACCAAAACCCTTGAGCTTGTGGCTCGGGGCGACTTTCGAATAAAGTTTGTGAAGTTTGCAAAGTTTGTGATTTTGAATAATTTTGTGAAGTTTGTGAGTTTGGGGCGAACTCTTGACCTGGTTGGACTATTCGAGCCGGTTAGGGTTTGGTCGAACGCAGTCCAACTTAGTCTGAGGTCACCAAGTTTGTAGGTTCATTTTATGAACCAATTTTGTGAATCCGGTTCACCGAGAAGGTGACCAAGTTTGTGACCCGAGCTTGTGATTCAAGCTCAAGTTTGTGATTTCGTTCGCCCGGACAAGTTTGTGAGGTGACTGGCCAGTGAGGGTGATAAGGTGTCGGTGGGTGTACAAGTGAAGTTCTACGGACTATTATTTGCGGTCGACGGAGTGTCGGCAGGAGATCACGCATGGCACATGAGTTGGCTTTGGAGCCACCTGTATCCTTATTATGTGATGTTACTTTTCTGCTTTTGCTTTACTCTTATTGTGTAACTGTTACGTGAAATTTATGCTTTCGCCCCTGTTTACTTACTAAGCATATAGCTTACCCCATTCCTTTTGTTTTCCTTAGCAGGGGCCGACGCGGGGACTTTTGGCTCGTATACTAGTATAGTAAGATTGGCTTGTAATAGTTGAACAGTTAGGATGTTTGTTTTTGTTTTGGTGGTTTGACTCGATACTTTTGGAGAATGTAATTATAACTCTTTTGAGATTGTATATATTGTATTTAGTGCTCTTTCGAACTTTAAGTTTTGAGTCCTGGCGCGAGTTAGGCAGGCGGCCCGCCGATACCCTTGGGTTCGCCCTTGGGAGAAGTGGGGTCGTCACAAAAACAACCACTAGCTCTTGGGCTGCTGGCCACCACCAGGCTCTTAAAGCTTTGGTGACCAAAATGCCACTCTTGTGGCTTTGCTTCAAATCCAAATGGTGTGCGCAGTGCACCAGTCTGGTTCGGTTATGGTTCTGTCTCCATCAGTCTCCGTAGGTTCACTTGGACCTCTCCCTAGTTAGAGTAGGAGTAAAAGTAGGGATGACAAGTGACAAAAAATAATAATAATAATACTAATAAAACTGTTTGATAATTTAAATACTTTTAGAGCTTATTGAAATATTTGAGAAAATATGTGATAAGAATATTCCTATATGATAGATATGTAGTTAAGCTTTGTTTGGACAGCAATTTTTCTTCGCTATGTTTTCCGTAACACATTTTTCTATCACCTTTTTACTTCACATATATCAAATTGTTACAGTAATTTTTCTACAAAAAATATAGGAAATGCAATCTAAACAAGGCCTTAGTTTTCTGCATAGATAATTTATATTATTAATATATATATATATTCATAAAATTTCTGCTAGAACACGAGCCCGTTTAATTTTGAATTGCTATTTTTAAGAATATTTTTAGAAAAATATATTTTAATAATTTAATATATATGAGATAAAAAGATATTTGATAGATGTGTTTATGTAAAAATGTAATATTTTCTATTAATTTTTTTTTCCGAACCAAAAACTACGAGAACATGAGAGTGTTGGGTTTCCACGAGGTGAATAGTATTAGTGCATCCTTTTGTAATTGCCAAAATGTGCGGGGTTGAAATGTAATTTACTCAATGTAGTAAGAAAGAAGAAACCCCGTTTGATGCTTCGTTCTTGCTACTTCCCTTCCCCAAAACGAGAAGAGAAACATACCCCGGGGCTTTCATCACTGATCCAATCGCAACACTCACTCCGCTGAGAGAAATCATTTCCCTCTTTATAAGATCTCTCAAATACCTTTTGGTTTTCGTTTCCCTCTGCAGCAGCAGCGGCGGCAGCAACTTCTCTGGTAAGTTATCGACTTGTACCTAGTGTATAACATCTTCCTAATTAAGCCAATTCTATCTTTTTTCTTTTTAATTTAAAGCTGGATCTTGTTGAATTACTTTTTAGATCTGGGGTTTTTGATGCTCCGATCTGTTCATGATTCTTCAGTCGTTGCTACATCTTGCACCAAATTCGATTAATTTCACTCACTAGTTTCTACAACTCGTGTTAATTGGTCCTTGCATTCTTTGGAACAATGCCTTCTCAGTGCGTGATATTGCATTGCAAGCTTTTCGTTGGTCGTCCGTTTATGTTCGTTAAATGATCTGGATTGATCTTTTGTTCGTTGTTTTCGCTGAGTTTTAGCTGGTTTGGTGTTTCAGAGGTGAAACAGGAACCATTTCCGAGAATTTGAACCTGTGGAGGCGGAATTCGAGAGGACCAAAATGGTAATCCGTGCTGCAAAGATTAGGATTAGCTTTTTTTGTTGCATAGATTACCACTTGAATTGGAGATCATAAACTTATGTGCCCCTTAATATCTGATATGCATATATTGGGTTTTCTCATGATTTTCTCCCTCAATTTTTTTTCTTAATTATGCCTTTTTGCGTGTGTTGATGCAGGTGGTTTTAGCAGCTTCCATCATAAGTAAATCTGGCAAACGTAAGCTCCATATTCAATTTAGATTTCTTATTTCTCTGTGCAATTATGTTGATTATTTTGTGTTTTGTTTCTAAGCTTGTGAAGCAAAAAGGGAAAATGTACTTGGAGATTTCTGCTTTGATTGTGTACTGTTGACTATTTGTTAAATTCAATTGAGATTAGGGAAAAAGTAGTGGTTTTGTTAAGGCTTTGTTGATTAGGGAAGTGCATATGATTAGTCCTGATATTTGCATGGAAACGTTGATATCAATACGAATATGAATTTAATTCAGATATAAATTTTCACAGAAATTCCAAAAAGCACTAGAGGATTGTTGGGGATGAACTCTGAAAGTTGAGAATAGTGGATCTGCTAGTAATAAATGAAAAAGGCAAATATATGGATGCTCAGGCTTGGTGCAATACAAACACCCGATTCTTGAAAGTGTTAGTTTGTGGCATCCTAGGAACCCACACCAAATCCGGTCATTTTGCTCTATAATTTTTGGACTAAAATACCGAACAAAAGGAAGTTCTCTAGAAGGACAGCCTAACATGCACCTCTTAGAAATGGAAGAGAATATTTTGCCAAAAAACCCAAGAAGAGAGAAATTTGTCCTTTGCTCTTTTTTTTTGTGAAAAAGAAATATTTGGTGGGATTTTGCATGCATTATTTCTTATGATTCCTTAATTGTTACTCCTTGGAGTAATTGTTTGTTGGGATATGTATGTTGGAACCTACTAAGCTACAATGATATTGAAGCATCAACTGATCTTTTCATGCATCATGATCCATCTTTTATTTTCTATGTACAATCTTTTATGTGGGCTTGGCTTAATTATGTATTTTAATGTGTTTTGATCTCTTTTCGCATATTATATTTTTGTTTAATCTAAATTGTGATGTCGGCTCTAACAGCATTGGTGTCAAGGCAATTTGTTGATATGTCACGCATAAGAATTGAGGGATACCTTGCAGCATTCCCAAAATTGGTTGGAACTGGGAAGCAACACACCTATGTTGAGACTGAAAATGTGCGATATGTCTACCAGCCAATTGAGTCTCTCTACTTGCTGCTTGTAACAAATAAACAGAGCAACATTCTTGAAGATTTGGATACCCTGAGGCTGCTCTCTAAACTTGTATCCTTTCTGCACATTCAGTTTGCTTCTAAATTTTATTGAAAAATGGAAAGTTAAGGGATAATGTTTGATCTCACGTTAAATCTGATTTTCTATTGTAAGTGTTTCTTTCATTTTGCATTGATCTGAGTTAGATGGAAGTTTTGTCAACCATCATGCTTCCAGAATCGATATAAATGGATACAAAAGAAGACATTGGTTTATTAAGCTTATTCCTTAACAATTTATTAGGTCCCTGAATATTCTTATTCCCTTGATGAAGAAGGAATTTGCAAGACAGCATTTGAGCTTATTTTTGCCTTTGATGAAGCCATCTCTCTTCGGCACAAGGAAAATGTTACTGTTGCACAAGTCAAGCAGTATTGTGAGATGGAAAGTCATGAGGAGCGATTGCACAAGTTGGTCTTGCAGAGCAAGATCAATGACACCAAGGATGTCATGAAGCGCAAAGCTAGTGAGATTGATAAAAGCAAGGTAATGCGCGGAATTCAAGTCTTCTCATGTTTTTATATGCCTTTGTTATATATAGTTGTTGTTGTTTTTCGTACACACTGCCTAAAAGTTGTATATACATTCTGCAGATTGAAAAGAATAGAGGTGAGAGAGGTGGTTTTATGCCTTTGCAATCAATGTCATCTGGTAGAATTGATTCTGGCTTTGGAAGTGATACGAGTTTGCCTAGTACTGGAGGTGGTTATGGAAGTTCATCTGGTTTTGGACTGACCACAGATATTGATTCTTTCTCTACTAAGTCAAAAGGTACGTGTTTATTTGACTTATGACTAAAAATGGCACTGTGTGTTTAACTGTGTTGTATAAGTTGTTTCAAATTTTATAGGTGGAAGCGACCATTTAATGAGGTCTAAATGCTCTCATGGCGGTATAATTAAATACCTGTGATTGAGTTTACTTTTAGTTTCCTGTTGAAGCTGGAATCTGCATTGCATCTTTAGGTTTATGTTGTGCCTATAATACTTGAAAAAGTTATGTACAGCACATGGGCTGTGGAGGGTAAGATATTTACTGATTGTATAAAGTTATTCTTGTTCATGATCAAACATGTTTGAAAGCACTCTGAGAATGCATTGTGGCTCCATTTGTGCCTCCATATCGAGAATTGAGTATCAAGAATGTTATTTAATCAGAACAGGACAATTTTTACTTTTACTCATGTTTATTTATTTTTGTTTAAAATGAGGATGAAAACTTTTTTAGAATAGAATGGTGTTGGACCATACATATCTAACTGCTTTATTGTTTCAAGGTAGGATATAGTTTGTTGATCATAATGCTATTTTTATGATCAGGTCGTCCAGCTGCATCAGCTACAGCTCCACCAAAAGGCCTTGGAATGCAGCTAGGTAAAACACAAAGGACCAACCAATTTTTGGAGTCTCTTAAAGCTGAAGGTGAAGTTATTGTTGAGGATGTGAGACCCACTGTTGGTCAGTCCAAACCTGTTGCTCCACCACCAACTGATCCCGTAACATTGAATGCTGAAGAAAAGCTTAACGTGACACTGAAACGTGACGGTGGTATCAGCAACTTTGATGTTCAGGGTACCTTGTCTCTTCAAATTCTTAATCAAGATGATGGACATATCCAAGTGCAGGTTTTCCCCTCACCTTCCATTCTTCTCTCTCTCTCACACACGCACATCACTGTTCTTGCTCTGAGACCAAATCCATTTATAGAAACCGCTGTTTCAAATCCTGTATCTGGATGAATGAATGTCCTCAATGCTATGCCCTCAGAGGATGAAAATTCTTCCAATTTTCTTTGTCTTCTTAAGAATAAAATTTGGAAGAAGTCAAATGTTTTTCTCATTATTCTAATATTTTATTTTTTATTTTTAGTAGTTTTCTCTGAACAACGAAAATGGAGGCATTATAGCAGTATGACATGTTTTTCTTTGCTTCTTCCATCCCATAGTAGGGGATTACTTGCAGTTTCTGTGAACTGCTGAATGCTTGATTTCATTTCTTCTGTGAAACTTTGCTGCCCCTCTATTCTATTTAAGGAGATGAAGTTGATTCCACCAATATGATTTCATTAGTTGAGCTGAAGTTTTTTGACAAAGCTTAGATGGCTTTGGGTATCTGGTAATCCAGGTCGTTTTGTGTTATAATTGTAATAGGCATGCTAATTCAATTGTGTAATTTTCAGGTTGAAACTGGAGGAAATCCAGCAATTCTTTTCAAAACACATCCTAACATTAACAAGGAGTTGTTTAACAATGAAAATATCCTTGGACTGAAAGATCCTTCTCGCCCATTTCCGACTGGCCAATCTGGTGATGGTGTTAGTCTTCTGAAGTGGAGAATGCAAAGTGGAGATGAGTCTTTGGTGCCATTGTCAAGTAAGCTAGTGGATGTGTGTTCTGTACTTGTTTCTTATGTGATTACTAATTTGCTGTGTTCTTGATTTCTGCCTCAATCATATTTCAGTAAACTGCTGGCCTTCGGTTTCTGGGAATGAGACCTATGTGAATATCGAGTATGAAGCTTTTTCATTGTTTGATCTTCAAAATGTTGTGATCTCTGTGCCCTTCCAGCCCTAAGAGAAGCTCCTAGTGTCCGACAGGTTGATGGTGATTGGAGGTGAGGTTTTATGGGTTATATGATGAAGTAAAAACTCATTAGTTCCTCGTCAGTTGGACCTTTCTTCCTGGAGATTGAAGCTTGTAGAGTCCTTATTCTGTAGGCATAGGTCTCATATCTTTTGTGGTTTAGCAATAGAATGGTTGCCACTTCTTCTATAATGGAGCATATGCTGCATTTCTTGCTTGCTTCCATGCAGTGTAGCATGTCTTTATGTATCTATGGTATGTTTTGGAGTTGTTGATCTACTCAGAATTGAGTGAACTGTGCAGAGTTCTGTGAAGAGTTGTAGCCCCTGAGTCTTCTGAATTTTGAGTTTTTATTTCTGACAGCTTTGGATCCTTGCTGCACAAACTGATGTGATGCTAGTTGTTCCAGAATTGTAGATTGTAGACAACATAGTCTGCATCTTCAGAAAACTGGAACAACTAAAAGCAAGTGAAGTTACTGGACATAATATTCTGTTCATGCGAGAAGATTGAGCTTAAATAACTCTCTCTCTCTCTCTATCTATCTCTCTCTATCTCTCTCTCTCTCTCTCTCTCTCTCTCTCTATTGAATGGGTATCTAGCTTAATTTTTTATAATGAGATGGTATGCGGCCTCTTCAAGTAGCTTTTTTATGTTGCATCTTCCAAAAGGGGAAAAGTGGGTTTGCATTTAACTTATTCATAGACCGCTTTGGTTTAAGTGGTAGCTGTGAAATAGCATTTTAACATTCATTTAATGCTTATTTGCAGGTTTGATTCCAGAAATTCTGTTTTGGAGTGGTCTATTGTACTCATTGATAATTCAAACCGCAGGTCTGTTGATTTGGAATCTTATCCTTTTAACCTAAACTACAGTTGGCATTTTTATTCTGAATTGATTGCATGTGATCTTGGCAGTGGATCTATGGAATTTGTGGTTCCCCCAGCAGATCCAGCATCCTTTTTCCCAATTTCGTGCGTTTTACTGCTGCAAGCACATTTAGTGACTTGAAGGTTTGCTTTCGCTTCATGTTCTGTGTCTTAACATATGAAGATGATATTTAAAGAGGACGTGTGAAAAAAGGTTATACTGCCTCCTCGGAGACCTATGGCATCTCCTGAATTAGTTTTTGGCGTGCATTACAAACACTAACTTCAAATACTCTGTAAATACCCACCCTTCTGTATTTTGCCTGGTAATGCCCTTGACTAGTAGCCTGCCTACATTTTCCGCACAGGGGTTTTCATATTTGGTGCAGTAAAATATGATAAGATCTTTATCTATCTGAAGAACCAGTTTTATTTAAGTTTGCCGATTTTGTTATGTGTCTAGAGATTTTCTCAGTAATGGATTGGCAAACCAGAAAAGTTGAGATTTGCTTTGTGTGGTTTGATAGATACACATTCGATTTTCTAAATGTACCCGTTGCTAGTCTTTAATATACTATGCCTTCAACACGGTGCTAAAATGAGAGAGCTTGAATCTGAATGTGTTTTTTAGGCACAACATGACCTTATTTATGGAGAGTTAACCCCTTTGAGAGAGAGAGAGGAATGTATGCTCTGCCATTTAAAGCTACAGTTTTTGTGCATGTCATTTTTCCACCTTGCTGTTTGATTGCCATGTGTAAAGATATTTTCTGTGCTTAGACACCTAGAAGGTTCATAAATCAGTGTTTTATAATCTACTCCTGCATCATATACCCAGAATTTGAGGCTTCTCTGCTTGTTTAGACTGACCATTTTGTTGAGTAGTATTTGTTTCCTGAGTATATGCAATCGTAAAAATATTGCAGGTTGCCAATATTTTGCCACTGGGAGGTGGACCCGCTCCTAAATTTTCTCAGAGAACACTGCTAAGTACAGAGACTTACCAAGTGGTATGATCAAATTGATTCCGTCCGTGATGGACAAAAAACTCATCTGCCAATAGTTTCAGAAATTTTGTGTTCTGAATTCTGAAAGCAATTGTCTGTATGGTTTTCTTTGTTTTGTTTTCTCGTTCGGTCGAAATTTTTGTTACACTGCGAATAGCTTGATCCTTTAGCAGACCTTTTCTTTCGCTTATAAGAAATTTTTTTTTTTGGGTTTTTCCAGAAGTAATTTACTTTTGCTAAGCCCACAAGCCCTGTTGTATTAGACATCCACCGTGATCACATTCTACTTCACTAACCGTCAAAGCCAACGAACATGTCTGTGCCGTGAGCTGATGATAATTAGAAGAGACAATTCTTGGAAATAATAGACTCCTACATCAAACAAAAAATTTAACAGTTAAAACGTGTAGAAGGTTTCAAAAGTAAAATCCACCCGTCATAAAATATGGGGATTAATCAGATGTTGGCCAACAATTCCCATTCTAGCAAAAGAAAACCTCGACGCAGAACTCAAATTCATCTCATTCGCTTCGCTCCTAAAATGATCCATCTAAAGGATGGTTTCACACCAACAATTTGCAGTTGCCTTTCTAGTACAGCATTTACCAGTATACATACACCCCTTAACTCTCTCCAGTGCAGTACTGTACTCCTCCTCCCACATATCAATATCATCTTCCCACCTCAAATTCCTTCATAATCATAAATTCATTACCCTTCTGGAAGAGAGCAAAAGAAAGAAAATGAATGGATATTCCAAGTTGATTCTTGTCAACAGCAAATCAAGATCCATTGATTTTTCAGATCTTAGTGCCATTGATTCAACTCTCTCTCGTCAAACCCAAAATGTCCACGAAAACATTCCTCCTAGTCCTACTAGTGAATCTGATGATCAAGATACCGACACCGTCGACCACCAAGACCACGATCAGTCGTCCCCTCCAATTCCAAAGCAGCAGCAGCAGCAGAAGCAGAAGCAGGATGAAGATGAACATCAAGCAGCCTGCAGTAGTGTCGGTGCAAAGTACTTGAGCAAGGACCGTTCAGTTTCCTCGGCTACTTCATCATCCCAGAGGTTCAAGTTGGAAAGGGAAAGAACCACAACAACAAAGAGAGGAATACAATCAGCACTGAGGAGAGCCTTCTCAACGAGAAGATCCTCAACGCCTTCAGTCTCTCATGAGAAGTATTGCAGGATCCACGACCAATGTGTTGCGATCCTACTTGATGATGATGACGTCGATGAAGACGTTTTTGAAGCCATGGAAGACAATAATAATGTTACGGGTTCGAACTCAATAGGATCTCCGGAGAAGAAGAAATTTGGGATCTTGAAAGCCTGTAAGCGTATTCTTGGATTCTAGTACTACCAATAATAATTAAGCCATGAAATGTATGAGCTACAGATGAATCTGCTAATTCATCTTTCTTTTTCTGTCAGGATTTTGTTTAATTGCTTTGGTTTTACAAAGTCTGTTTAACTGCATGAGAGCAAATAAGATTAATCCACCTGGGCTAGTAACTATTCTTTGCATCTTGCCTCCTCTAGTAGTAAACAATGGAGTAGGACCAAGATATGGAAAACCAAAGAGGAAGCTCCCATGGTTGGCTGCTGTTCATTATTCATCGTATGAAGAATAGTAAACTTGAGCTGCCATGAAACATTTTCCTTTTGACCTGGAGTAGTTCTTCTTACGATTCTCCATGTTGTTTTATGATAAGAATATAAATAATTGTGCATGAATGCCACACCTGACATCTTTCACTATAAAATAACACTATGGCTCATAACATCAAATAGTTGAAAAATGTGACTATTATTAGCCTTCGGAAGCAGTGAGAGCATTCCTAAACAATATATATATATTTTTTTTACGTGCCTTGGAACTTATGCTTGACCTTAATTGTTGCAAGAATAGTCGGTGAGCATGCTTTTACCGTGCAATAGAAAACAGTAAAAAGAAACTGGTGGTGGGTAATTTGGGACTTCACAAGTTACTAGTTTCTATAATAATCCATATATGTACATGCATGCTTTTTAGTACAAGGTCTAAATCTAGGACACTTTTTCAGTTAGCCACCAGGGAGTGCAGGGGTAAGAGTTTCGAAACCCTTTGCTTGCATTTTCCATTAGGAAAAGATCCATTTTTTGTCCCTAAATTTTGAGTTAAGGATACATTTCATTTCCAAATTTTTAGATGCATTATATATGAATCAAACAGAGAGCGGACAATGCAGGTGCAATTCCACTTGAACCGAGGCCGGTCGTTGACATTTTTTAACAGGACCGTTGCCACTTAAAAGCCATAAGCTCCGCTCAATCGTAAGCAATTATATGTTATTCGTGAGAACGATATTTATCCCTGAGTTTAAAATTTAACTTTGACAGAGGGCCTGGTTGGGAAATGGAGGAAGCCATGCTGCCATAAAAAATTCCAGACGCCCAAAGAAAAATCAATAGTAAATTAACCCACAATTAAAGGAAATGGTACGAGTGCAACACATGTGCCAATTATAGGCACTAGGTTTGTTTTCAAACACAAAAAGGCCATTTGAAGATACTATCAAAATTGTCAACTTTCCTGCTACCTAAAATTCCCAACGTTTCACTACATAGAAGTGGAGACAATCTCAACCTCAGCGTAACAGAATAAAAATTCGTTGCACAGCATTAAACCCTTTTAAGAACTGCGCACAAATACATTTAAACCATCAGCGCCAACTTTTCTATGTATTTCACTGTCAAAAATACCATTACTGAATACTTTTGTTACCTCTATATTAAATCCTAATAAGATATCCTTCTCAAGCCCCCTGACACGAACAAGTTTCCGCAAACGCTAGGACCGTTTCCACAAATTCACGCCTTATACACATTCCAAGGCTTGTAAAGGTTGGAGAGAGGGGCTGGGAGACCATAAAGTGAAAATGAGCTCAGGATCAATGTTCCTTTTTTAAGGCTCACTTGCTGTCAGTAAAATCAGCATCAATGACGTCTCCATCATTACCCTTTCCTGAAGGCCCAGGTTCAGTGCCTGGTGCTGCACCAGCATCAGGTGACTCGCCAGGCTTGCCATAGACTGAACTACCAAGTTTCATTACTTCCTGGTTAAGTGCAGCCATAGCATCTTTGATGGCCTGGGTTGAGTCACCTGAGATTGCATCCTTGAGTTCCCCAACTTTCGCCTCAACCTGCTCTTTTACTGCTGCAGGAACCTTGTCACCAAATTCCTTCAGCTGCTTCTCAGTCTGGTATACAATAGAATCTGCCTGGTTCTTTGTGTCTATGGCATCCCTCTTCTCCTTGTCCTCCCTGGAAAACTTTTCAGCTTCTTTAACCATTCTCTCCACCTGTATTATGTTCACGCAGGACGTAACAAATTCTCAGCTTAAGGTGCAACAAGTAGATTAGATTTTACAAAAAAGAAAAGGCTGCTTTTCTATTGCATGCCTCAGCTATCGAATACATGCAGATTTACAGTCTTAACAAATTCTCAGCTACATGAGATGACTTGTGCATTCAGGAGCCATACCTCATCACTGGGCAACGTGCTGGCACCTGTGATGGTGATATCTTGCTTCTTCCCACTGCCTTTATCAACTGCAGCGACAGAAAGAATTCCATTTGCATCAATGTCAAATTTAACTTCAATTTGAGGAACTCCTCGTGGGGCAGGTGGTATCCCATCCAGACGGAAGCTGCCTAATGATTTGTTGTCCCTTACAAACTCTCTTTCACCTTGAAGGACATTGATTTCAACACTAGTCTGGCCATCAGCAGCTGTTGAGAAAACCTCTGATTTTGATGTGGGAAGGGTTGTATTTCTTGGAATGATTTTTGTCATCACACCACCAAGAGTTTCTAACCCCAGAGACAAAGGCGTTACATCCAGAAGTACAATATCACTGACATCTCCAGCCAAAACACCAGCCTAGTATAAACAAATTAAGTATGTCTCAGGCAAACGAGTGGCAAAGACAAATTAAAAAAGATAAACATAATTGAAATCAAGCTCTGGCTTTGACACAGAGTAAGTTTACTAGGTTGCGTCATATTTAGAAGGGCAAATTGAAGAGAAAAAGGAACTGTTACATCTCTAAGTAGCAGTAAATCACACCTGCACAGCAGCTCCAAGAGCAACAACTTCATCAGGATTGACTGTCACGTTAGGATCCTTTCCAGTCAGTTTCTTGACAACCTCCTGAACAGCAGGAATACGTGTTGACCCACCAACAAGGATCACCTCATCTATATCACTAAAAGAAAGCTTTGCATCGCTCAGGGAATTCTGAACTGGTCGTTTTAGCCTGATAAAGAGAGGAATAGGATAATTTCAGGTATGCCAGCTGTTAAGAAAAGCAGAAGGTGACTTGGTTATAGAATAATGATATATAGAAGAAGCCTCAACGACCTTTTCATACCTATCAAGCAAATCTGAGCAAAGCTCCTCAAATTTTGCACGAGCAAGAGTGGTTTCTATGTGTTTGGGACCATCTGCCGTGGCTGTAATGAAAGGCAAACTGCCACAAAAAAGAAATGTACTTGCTATGATATAATACCAAAATATTTAAGAGGATATAGAGGGCATCAGAAAATATTGGTACCTGATGTTTGTTTGTGTTAAAGATGACAGTTCCATCTTAGCCTTTTCAGCTGTTTCAGTTAAACGCTGAAGAGCTTGTTTGTCCTTCAGAAGATCTATCCCTTCATCCTTCTTAAAATTATCAGCAAGCCAATCCACAATTCTCTGCACAACATAATTTATTAAATGATGATTCCCCAGCAGCAAATACAACTAAAGATATTAGTCGAAAGTAAGATAACATTTTCTTTTATGTGGGATTTGGATGAACATAGAAAACTCATCAAACAGTTTTAAATCAACAGAGAGAGAGAGAGAGAGAGGATACCAACCTTGTCAAAATCATCACCACCAAGATGAGTATCTCCAGAAGTTGAAAGAACCTCAAATACTCCATCACCAACTTCAAGAACTACAACCAAAGCAATGGCAAAAGGAGTTATAGAAAGTTGCATTTTGGAGAAGAAGACAATCTGTTTAGACATTTATACAGAGTACATGAGCTGAGGATGAGAGATAATACAAATAGCCACTTGGAAGGAAATAAAGTCACAGAAGCAGCAAAAGTGGGCAAATTCTTAATAAAAATGAAAGCTTTTACCAAGAATATAGCCACTCCACATGATATCAAGAGACAGTGTATAACCAATCACAACAACAGACACTTGGTACCTGAAACATCAAATGTGCCACCTCCTAGGTCAAAAACTAGAATAGTTTCGTTGTTCTTCTTTTCAAAACCGTAAGCCAAAGAGGCAGCGGTAGGTTCATTTATAATTCGAAGAACCTCCAAGCCAGCAATTCGACCAGCATCTTTTGTTGCTGTTCTCTGAGAATCATTAAAGTATGCTGGAACTGTAACCACAGCTTTAGTAACCTTGTCATTCAAAAACTTTGAGGCATCATCAACAAGCTTTCTCAAAACCTAAATCAGGAAATATAGAAAATCAGCAATAGACCAGAATCAGTAAAGCAATAAAAGACAAAAACTCAAAGGCACAGTATTGTTGTAATTCAAATCCTCCAAAATAGTCTTTTGACTAGAACAAACTACAGAATTCAAGCTTTTCTTGCCACCTCAGCTTGCATTTGAAATGCTCAACTTCGGAATATCCACTTCTTCATTCACCAATTGAGCACATACATTCCACCCTCATCTCAGAACAAAGCTCGTCAAATCATTCAGCTACTACAGCTTCTATATGTCAGCTGAACTATAGCTGACTTTATCATGTCCCCTTACCTAAAATCACCTCATTTGCACAATCAAATTCATAGACACACACCCACAAACCCCAAAGATAAAGTAATAATCCTGCATACAACAACAGCAATAACAATAAAATTAACATTCCCCTCCCCCCCACCCCTACTTCAAAAGTGGCCTTCATTTAAGAATCCAACAATAGTTCACCCTACGATACACATGCTCTAAACAAAATTCACCGCACTCTTATCGTTATCCTCAAAACCTGAAAGCATCCAAAGCATTTAAGAGTCCAATATGAGAACTGAACCACATATCAGTTCAACTGTATTCAATAGTTTAAGCAACCCAGGGTTTAACAACGTACACATATCAATGTGTACCTGAGCAGAAATTTCTTCAGCAGCAAACATTTTGCCGATAGCAGGGCAGTCGAGCTTGACATTTCCATTCTCATCCCTCACCACAACGTACGAAACTTGCTTAGACTCCTCGTCCACCTCCGACATTTTCCTTCCGATAAACCTCTTGACCGAGAAGAAAGTATTCTCGGGATTCACGACAGCCTGGCGCTTAGCAATTTGACCAACAAGCCGATCCCCATTCTTAGCATAGGCCACCACGGACGGCGTCGTCCGCTGCCCTTCGGCATTCGTCACAATAGTCGGCTTACCCCCCTCCATCGCCGCCACCGCCGAGTTGGTCGTCCCGAGGTCAATCCCCACCACTTTCTCCGCCACCACCCGCAGCGGGGCGGTGTTGTACCTCCGGCTGCTGCTATTCCTGGCATACTTGAGTTTGAGTCCAAAATCCGACCTGTTTCTGAAGTTTATGGATTGACCGTAGAAGAGGGTTTTAGAGGGTTTGTTTGGGGTTTGGTTCGCTGATGAGAAACGAGCAGAAGAACCACCGAGAGCGTGAATTTGAGCAGTTGAGGAGGCCATTACTTCTGCCAAAGTTCTCAACTTTTTTCAAACCCTAACCCTAGAAAGTGGTGCGAGCGGGACGCGCGGGGGGAAGAGGGTGCGGGGCTGGGGAAGGAGAAGGAAAATGGAGAGATAACGGAGCCTTTGAGGAGAAGAAGAAGATAAGGGGTTTACAAGGGGTTGAGGGACTTTTTCCCTTTTTCTTTTCTTTTTACTTTGTTGAGAGGAGGGTTCGGTAGGAGACAGATGGAAGATTCTGGAATTCTCTTTTCCTTTTTTTTTTTTTTTTGGGGAGGATTTAGTAATTTTTGGTGAGACTGACATCTGGAAAAAGAGTTGATTTTGATTGGACGGTTTGTTCAATTGTTTGGGCCTATCCACCAATTTTTATTTTTATTTTTTGTCTCTATTCTATACTACCTCCTATACTAGTTTATTTTAAGAGGGAGAGTCCAACCGAGTCTATTGGAAAATTGATTGAGATTGAATCATTATTGAATCAGATGAGTGTATTATGTACCGATATGGATTTAAGTTAGTTAAAATGGCAAATCACATATAGTGATAAGTGGTAGAGACAAGATCGACCAATTGGTCCCATCAATATACAAGGATTATTCTAAATTCATACAGGTGTGTTACACCAATCTGATCTGATTGTGGTTCAGTACCCATCAAATTTTCTCGACTCAGTTGGACCACCCCCTAGAGTAGTAGGCGTAGATTAGTATAAGTTAGATGTGTCGTTACCATAAAAAAAAGTTCTTATGATTGCCACTTTTCTTGATGTATTAAAATTTGTGCTTAATTGTATAGTAAAAAATTAAAGGAAAAATAATTTAAAATATCTCTTACATTTTGTCAAATAAATTTATTCATTCCTCATTTTTAAAAGGGATAATTTCAAAAACCTCCCCTGAGGTTTCTGACATTTACACTAGCCTCCCCTATGGTTTGAACAATTACACTGACCTCCCCTGAGGTTACTAATCCTTTACAAATTTAGTCCAAATGATTGAAATATTGTTTTAGATAGTGAAATTAGAATTTTGTACCTGATTTGTCCTTTGTGCTACATGTCCAATGAATGACAAAGTATTACAAATTAATTAATAATTAATAAATTTTAAGGAGCGTAGTTTATAGACAAATACGTATTACTTATTTAAAGTACCAACTCTTTACGAGTATTTTACTTTCAAACATTTACTTTATTACAAATATTTATTCTCAAATACAGATTTGTATTTACTCTCAAATTTTTAATTTTTGTTAAATACAAAACCTACCAGTTTTTCTTCCATAGAAATATTAGTATAACACTTTTTCAATTTTAGTTATAAATATTTATGTATTTAACATAAATTAAATGATTCAAGATAAAATACTCATAAAGAGCTAATACTTTACTTATGTAATGGATGAAAATCATAAAAAATTAATACTTTATCGGCCATTTCTTTTTTAAAAAAATATTTAATTTATATTAAATAGATAACTTACTGATTTTCTTTTTGCGAGAATATTACTGTAACACTTTTTAATTTTTAATTACAAACGTTAATATATTTATCATAAATTAAATATTTGAAAATAAAATATCTGTAAAGAGTCGGTACTTTAAATAGGTTATGTGTATTTGCTTATAAACTATACGAGGATAAAGTAAGGAGTATAGTTTATTGATTTAAGTTAAGGAGTGTAATTTATTGATTTAAGTAAGGAGTGTAGTTTATAGGCAAATACATATAACTTATTTAAAGTACCCGCTCTTTACAGATATTTTATTTTCAAATATTTAATTTATGATAAATATATTAACGTTTGTAATTAAAAATTAAAAAGTGTTACAGTAATTATTCTCGCAAAAAGAAAATCAGTAGGTTATCTATTTGATATAAATTAAATATTTTTTAAAAAAAGAAATGGCCCATAAAGTATTAACTTTTTATGGTTTTCATCCATTACATGAGTAAAGTATTAGCTCTTTATGAGTATTTTATCCTGAATCATTTAATTTATGCTAAATACATAAATATTTATAACTAAAATTGAAAAAGTGTTATATTAATATTTCTACGGAAGAAAAACTGGTAAGTTTTTTATTTAACAAAAATTAAATATTTGAGAGTAAATACAAATCTATATTTGAGAATAAATATTTGTAATAAAGTAAATGTTTGAAAGTAAAATATCCGTAAAGAACTGGTACTTTAAATAAGTAATACGTATTTGTTTATAAACTACGTTCCTTAAAGTTTATTAATTATTAATTAATTTGTAATACTTTGTCATTCATTGGACATGTAGCACAAATGGCAAATCAGGTACAAAATTCTAATTTCACTCTCTAAAACAATATTTTAATCATTTGGACTAAATTTGTAAAGGATTAGTAACCTTAGGAGAGGTCAGTGTAATTGTTCAAATCACAGGGGAGGTGAGTGTAAATGTCAGAAACCTCAGAAACCTCAGGGGAGGTTTCTGAAATTATCCCTTTTTAAAATGTTAACTTTCTATTCATTACAAATTCAAATTCATAAATTTTGATCCCAACCTAAGTTTTCAACCACTTTTTACCCTAAAAATCATCACATGATTCACATGTAATTGTTTCCGTTATATAAAAAAGTTAAGAAAAAAGTGAATATAGATCAGATCATTTGTTTAATTACAATGAAATTTAACATTTTTGCTCCTATAAAAATGTCAATGTATAAGTCACATGATGAATTCAATGTAAAAAATGATCGAAAACTTTAAGTGGAAACCAAAATTTATCAACTTGATTTTACAAGGGATGCAAATTACCATTTTAAAAGTGAATTTATTTGGAGAAATGTAAAGAACATTTTGAATGAATTTTTCAAAATTAAAAATAAAAGCTAATACATGATTAAGGATATGTATATTAGTACATGCACTAATATTCTTTTATATGGTTAACAACAAGGTATCCAATAGAATTAACATTGACTCAAAAAAAAAAGATTTTATTTAAGGATTAATCTTCTATATAGTGACAGTGCATACACTTTCATCGTTAAATATATGATAAATAATTCAAATTTAAATTTAAAATTCAAATTATATATATATATATAATTGCATCCAATCATGATAATATATACACTGTTAGTGAACATAAGAATTAAGATTAACTCTTTGTCTTGTTTTCCTTAGCGATGATGTTGAACCAGTTTTTCCTGGCCTTTAAGAAAGTAGCGAAGAGTGAACGAACCAAGATGCAAGTTACAAGCTGCGCGTGGTTCAACTATTCAGCTTCCTCTTTTGAATTCCTGGCCTTTGACCTAAAGTTCCTGAGGTTTGCTCTTACCAATTAGAGCCATTTTCATTATGCAAAATCAAAATGCATGACATGTCCAACACTATACACATTTATAGCTACGGTTTGCTGCCGGAATGACGATCACAACACTGATAATGACAAGCGACTGCAAATTGAAAGGGATACATTTTCTTGAGGAAAAGGAATGGAATCAAAAGGGGTGAAGCATGAAGCATCTTTGCTTTATTCCACACCCCTTACCAACCTAAGCAAGTACCAAGAATAACGGCAAGATTTCACCAACACCAAATCGGCAATGGACTGCCAGGCTGCCATTCCTGTACTGTGATTAGAAATAATCGACAGTAGTTGTAAAAGGATATTAATTAAGGCTATAGAGTTGGTTACAGTGAGAGGGGAAATCATGAGGTTCAGGACAAGCATGCTGGGAGTTTGCATAAGCAGCAAGCAAACGAACTGCTAAGAATCCAGACCAAGCACCCCCAGCACAGTCACGAGTTTATTGTCAAAATAACTCTTCTTCTAGAATATATACTCAAAGTAACTAAATTTTAAAACTTATTACCTTTGTGATCCTTTTTGCCACTTAGGCTGCATATGTGTCAGGATAGAGATAAAAACGTCCTCCATTTCTCTTTCTCATCTAATATTTTCTTCAATTTCCTCTATAAAGCTTCCCACATTTTTTTCTTTCGTTATCTTTCCCTTGTCAAACATAATCTAAGAAACCAATCTTTATATTAACAGCATCTAAAAAATATGTTTCGCAAGTTAATAATCTTAAGGTAGATGAAGATTATTTTCGTCTTTTCAAAGAGTAGGAAGGATAACATAAACAAATATGATAACCTTGAAATTTTTATAATTGATTACAATTTTCGTTGCAATTTTTGTATTTTTAAAATTATTTTTTGAAAAAATATATATGCAATAGGTTTGATACATTTAAAAAAATTCGGAGACCAATAATAGTAAGGTCAATAATGGTAAAATTTATTTTAGATAATTATAAGGAAATTATAAAAGTTATGCAATCTTCTTGCTCCTCTATAATAAAAAAATATAAAATTTTAGTTAATGTTAGAAATTATAAATTGGATTAGAACTTTCCTTTCTTGTTATTCTACATGGCAATCAGGATAATTAGATGGGAACAATAATATCATTATGGTAATAAAATTTGAAAGTGAATCACATTGGAAATATTTTTTAGTAAGAGTGTTATTTTGACAAAAAAACTCGCACAGTCACAGTTGTATATGGCAGCCAATAGTCATACTAACAGAAATACTTTTTTTACTCGACAAAAAATGATACCTACAACCTTGCAATTTTTGTCCCTCTAACTTAACTATTCTAATCTTTCATTTCTCAATCAAAAGTGCTACTTCCCATGCCTGCTCTCTACCCCCGATATTTCAGGGCTGACAAATTAGCTTGGAATCTTTTATTGATGGGAAAGGCATTGACTTACCAACTCTCAAGTGAAGAGTGTCATAGTCATACATACACCGTCTCCAGTTGAAAATTTTACTTCAACCTTTAGTAGAATATTGTTTCAGAGGCAGTGCTCTCCATCCTATATCTTTCCGAGAGAAACCTCCCGGCCAATTAATTTGATCTACAGCCTGGTATGCTCTATCCCGTGCCTCCTCAAGATCCCTTCCCTTGGCAGTAACCCCAAGAACACGCCCCCCTGCTGCAATGAAATTCCCATTCGTGTCAATAGCAGTTCCAGCATGAAAAACCTTAACAAATGGAGAAACTTGCTCTGCTTCTTCTAGGTTTTGAATCAGTGTCCCCTTCTCGTAGCTCCCGGGATAGCCCTTACTTGCCATAACTACAACCATGGCTGAACCAGGGGACCAGTCTAGCGAAATGCCTCTCAGTTCTCCCTTGCAAGCTGCGAGTAGAACTTGTGCCAGATCGGATTCCAAGCGAACCATCAGCACCTGTAAATCACAAGACCAAGCAGCAGCATAGAATGTCAGAGTAGTCACATCTGCAAAGGAACAAATCCATATCAAACTCCACTGACCAAGAATTGATATACCAGAAGACTAGTTTACAAAGAGGAGAAAATGAAAATACGAAAGTGGTATGGTGTTCATCAAAAACCACCAGAATGACACCCAAAAAGAACATGATTGCTTAGACTTTATAACAAACATGTTCTACTTTAGAAGATCCCTACAGGAATCACTTTGCTATAAATACCCTCAAAGACCACCAACATTTAGCAACTTGATGATGTAAAAACTAGCAACCATGAAACTGATCCAACATAGGATAACTAAGTGGCATACTGCTTTGATTAGATCTTAGAGAACCCCCAACTAGAACAACTCATAGATGGAGATGGAAAGAAGATAGGCAATTATAGCATTTACTTATCAATTGTTTGAAGGTACTAAAACAATAGTTTACTCAACTGATACACTAGTAAAATTAGAAGACAAACTTAAGACCACAACTTCAGTTTTCAATTGGTTAAAAAATAAAATTAAAAAAGAAAAGAAAAGAAAAGAAGAAGAAACAGAAATTGAAGCTTCAAGCAGCAACCTTTTGCAGATTCCACTACATCACTTTCATCTTCTCAACCTCAACAACAATTCTAGGTAAGAAATTGCAGCTACCAGTACAAAACCAAAGACATCAATAGTCAAAGATACTAAAGAAACTGACCTGGCACTCTGGATCTCCAAAGCGCACATTGTACTCAATTAATTTCGGCAATCCGGACTTCCTCTCAATCATGAGTCCAGCATATAAAACTCCAACAAATTTGCATCCTTCATTGGCCATTCCTTTCACAGTAGGTAGAATGATGGATTTCATAACCAAAGACTGGAGTTCTTTTGTCAAAACTGGTGCAGGAGAGTATGCCCCCATTCCACCAGTATTGGGCCCTGTATCACCATCCCCAACCCGTTTATGGTCCTGTGCAGATTCTAGAGGAATCGCATTCTCCCCATCTACTAGTGCAAAGAATGAAGCTTCTTCTCCTTCCAAATATTCCTCGATAACAACATGGCAACCAGCAGGCCCAAAATCACCTTTGACAAGCATCGAGTCTACAGCATCATATGCCTCCTCGAGAGTCAAGGCAACAATAACTCCTTTTCCAGCTGCAAGTCCATCAGCTTTAATAACGATGGGAGCACCTTGCTCTTTAATGTAGCTTTTTGCAGCGGTAGAATCGGCAAATGTTCTATACTGCAAAGAGTAACCAGATTTACCATATTCAAGATGCATTTGAATAGTCAAAGTTGCCTAGAAACTGTTAATCCTGTTATGAATCGAATAATGAAGACAACGTTGTGAAAGATATGATTTCTAAACCAGCCATAAGATTAAGACAGGTGGAACCATGCTATAAATGTTGTATCTGCAACAAAGAAACAATACCCTTTGCTATCTACAATTGGACCTACCTTGGCAGTAGGAATTCCATATTTGTCACAAATGCCCTTCATAAAATTCTTGGAGCCTTCTAAAGCAGCAGCTTCTGATGAAGGGCCAAAAGTTGGAATTCCGGCCTTCACGAGATCGTTAGAGAGTCCTGCAACAAGAGGTGCCTCTGGTCCCACAACAACTAGTCCAACACCCCACTCACGACAAAAGGAGATAACTGCTGAGCTATCTAAGATATCAAGGTCAGAAATGCAAGTTGCATCTCCAGAGTTGGAAATCCCCGCATTGCCTGGGGCACAGAATACACCGTCACAAGTGGGAGATCGTTTCAATGCATAACAAAGAGCATGTTCTCTTCCCCCTCCTCCAATCACCAACACAACCACCCTTTCCCCTGCCAATAACATTGAGTAAGACTCTGCGTGTAAGTATCAGACATTTTCGACATTTTCAAGCTGCAAGCCAATTTTATCAAGCCCCTTCAATTGTTGTTAGTCCAAAACTATCAATCGTTTATAAGCCATCTGTCTTATCTTTCCTAAACTCTGATTCACCAAAACTGAGGAAACCATGCGTCAAACGCAGGATGGTGATCAAAATGGATGAGTACAAAATTTCACAAAACAACACGCAAACATTGACTCTTTTTTCTTTAAATTACTTGATATTTAATTAGACAAAGAATGAACTAATACAAGCGCAAGTTATGTACTTATTCATCCGCACTGAATAGAAGTACGAGGAAAAATATCTTTCCTAATCTTCTACTCAATGAATAATTTGATCTTTTATTCAAAAAAAAAAGGCATCACTTTTCTTCCCAATTGCTTGGCAACTAACCCCAACTCAAAACCAGAGAGAGACAAACAAGAAAATGAGGGAATTCCAAGTTCTTAACATGATCCTCTACTCGAAATTGAACTCATATATTGAGGATTAGACAATGAACAACATTACCCTTTTATAATTCATCCCGTTTCTGTTTCTTATTAGAATATACTAGCATTCTAAACAGTAAGCTTGAAAGCATAGATTCTTTTATGCTTACCAGAAGAAGAGGTACCATTGACAGAAGACAAGCTACAGGCTACTGCGGTCAATGTCGACCGAAGACTATAAACCCTGCGGCTAGAATTGCCACGAAACTCAAGTTTTAAGCAATCCCACTTAATTGTTCCCCCCAGGTAAATAGAACGGCTTTGGTCGGCCGTGAACAGTTTAGATGACTGGTAATGATGGCTGCCCGGAAATTTTGCTGTAGCTCCAATACTATGAGCTATGCATGATGCCATTTTAGCTTATACTTGATTATTTCCCACGAAAAAAGATTCAAGAAGTGAATGAACAAACCAGAACGGAAAGATATCCCAACAAAGAGAACTTAGAGAAGAGCAGATAAAAGGATAGAGCTGTGTGTTTTATGTTTATGAGAAGAGAAGAGAAGAGTTGAGGAGGAGGAGGAGGAGGAGGAGGAGGAAGAAGAAAGAATAAAAAGGGAGGGTAGTCTATCCGGGGCTTAGGTTTCTCCGCTTCAGGTTAAAATTGAAAGCATCTACGTCAGACTGTCAGAGTTCGTTCACATTCACGTCTAGTTTTTATCTGTTTAGCAGAGGGGTGTGATTTTTTTCAAGTCCAGTTTGTTTGTGTTTTTTTTTAGGGTTAATCGCACTTTATCCCCTTTAAGTATAGGTCATTTCTCACTTTACCCCACAACGTTTGTTTTTCCTCAGTTTATCCCATCCGTCAGCAATTGCACGTTAAAAACTTCAAGATGCCGAAATTGCCATTGGGTAGTTAATAGGGCTCTGTAGTTATTGCAAATTGATTTTTGAGTTGGATGTGTGCATTTTTCATCAGCAGTTCAAGGTGGTGCATGATTTTCTAATTGATAATATTTCTGTTGAATTGTCACTTTCACAATCTCTTAAGTATTTCCTTCCTCCAGCACCTAGTTACCCTCACTCTTTCAATTTCATCAGTTGAACACTTAAAAAGTTGCTTAGCACTTTTTCCTCCTTAAAAGAGATTTTTTTCTTCCAAAGATTCAGACTATCACTTTTTGAATAAACATAAAAAGTTTGATTTCAAAGAACAGCAGAGTGAATCAGCTATCTAATATACTGTGAACTTTAACTAATCCTCAGGCTAACATGACAGTTCAAAGCCTTTAGAAACAGTTTGGATTATTCTAGCAGACCCACGAGTACTAATCCAACAGAGCAAAGCAGAATATGAGCAAAAAATTACAGAGGAGGAAATTATCCATTAGGAAATCACAGATGTTTCAAACTAACCTAAGCATCAGCCAGTAAACGTGTAAGAAGCTTTCTCACAAACATAAAATTCAAAAAATTATATGCTTATTCTTTTTCCTTCTCTGCTTCTTCTGCCAAGAAACGCAAATTCAAATTCCACTCCAATAGTAAGGCCTATGTCCAGTACCATACCCTCGTCGTCGAGGAGGGCTCCAACGTCCCTCTCCGCGAGTACGTCAATGCCGAATTCTTCCGCCCTGTGCTTCCTCCTGACCCTCTTTCTTCTGAACCCTATTTCGACCTAGGCGACGTCGTCGATGCCTACTATAGGGACGGCTGGTGGACTGGTGTCGTCACCGCTCTTCTTCTTCAGCACCACAACGCCGACCGCCACTACCACCACAAGCAGCCCCAGTCCCCCTCTCTTCTGAGGTTCGTCGTCACCTTTCACAATCCACTCGACGAACTTCACTTTCCTCCTTCCCAATTGAGATTTCACCACCGATGGGTCAATTGCACCTGGGTCCGACCCGCCAAGTAGGTGCCGTTTCTATTTCTGGTGTCGTTTCATGTTCTTTAATGGAGGTTTTGGAGGTTTTGCAAGGAATACAGAAGAAGAAAGAGGCTGATAGAGGGGAGAGAGACTTGACCGACAATGACAAAGAGGAAGGAAACCTTTTGTCTTCTGGTTTCCCTTTTCTTGTCCCATGTGCCCGATGGAGGGAAATTTCCTCCTCCATTGTTCCAGGGCAATTTTGGAAATTTGTTTTTATCCGTTTCATGAAGACATGAACCTTTGACATATGGGTATTTTGGGTTGTTCATTATTTTCTTAAGGATATTACTGTCTTTTCATTATTCTGTTAATCTCCGTTAGAGTTGACTGTTAGTATTTGGGATAAACTGAAGAAAAATAAACGTTGGGGGGTAAAGTAAGAAATGACCCATACTTAAAGGGGATAAAGTGCGATTAACCCTTTTTTTTATTCCATTATATTATCATCTTATTTTCTTCCTATTTTGGCTTTTTCACCCCTTTCGTTGGGTACTTGGGTAAATAATTAGCAGTTTTTTATTTGCTGAAAAAATATGGGGATTTTTTTTCCTAATATGCTCCAGTCACATTTTTCAACTACTCTTTCTCTCTTTTTTTAATCATTTTATTGTAACACATGTATCTCATAACAGAAAGAATTAGAATAAACAATAAAAGAATTACCAAATAATTATCAATCCAAACAGATCAAAATGATGTACGTGAGACAACTAAATAATTGAGACGTCTTCATGAAAAATGCATATTTTTTTGAAAAAAAAAATGACAATTCAAACGAGGCCCAATGTATAACCTTTAGAATATTGGTATTTTACCATATATCTTTTCTGAGATCGCATTGCTTTTACTATTATGAAATAATAGCTGAAGTTAACCAAAAAGAAGATTTAATGAATTTAACTAGTGACACTTAATTCTTCTTTTATTTCTTCATCATTCAATTTCCTATTTTTTCTATGCACTACTACAAACGACCATCGGTTTAGGCTTTTTCTTTTTCCCCCTTCTGTTTTTAGAGCTTGACGTTTTGAGTCTAGGGAGTAAAACAAGAGATGTTGATCAACAAGACATCCAGACTAGCATTCAATTTATGGATCTGGACTGGGTATCAAGAATCAACTTCAATATCACAAGCAATGGTTCTCCTTCCACCATGTTTTTCTTGACAACCTGCTTTTGAAGATGCATGCATTCGTTTCTATTCTTATCTTAAAAGAATAACGGACCATATTGCCAGCATCATCCCATTAGGTGCTCCACATCCTATAGTCCTACTGCAGTCGGGCGAACCAATGCAATACCATAGCACCATACCGAGTTACAAAATAATAAAGAGATAGACTGCTTCCTGACACCAATTACCATAGCATCATTGGTAAATGTGCCGCTCAAAGATTGCGATAGACAAACCAAAAAGACCATCAGCCACTGTGGCACAAGTCGATAAGCTTGGCAACAACAGCTCTTAAGTCTTACCTTGCGTTATCCAATTCTGATCCATAGTAACAAAGATTTGCCCAAAATGGGTAAAGAAAAACAGAATGATAGGGACGCTACAAGCATGAATAACAACAGGCAAGCGAATACTACCAGAATATCAGCATCAGGGAGCTTCCCTGGAAATGTTCCTATGTCACTATGTGAAACTGATTGATAACATTACAAACTAATCTCCCGGTAGCTCGGTACTAGGCTTCAAAAAAGTCCCGCTTTGAAGATTCTCACAAACATACAAACAGTGGATAATAAGGGTCTAAGCGTCTGGTTTATCATAACCAGAAAATTGACGATCCTAAATTCATATTTCACTCATCTCCCAGATTCTACTGAGAAATGCATTTCCAGCTTTATACAGACATGATACACGATATTCCCAAGAAAAAGATTTACATGTGATACAGGACAAAGTGGTAATGTGACATTGCCAGATAAGCCACTAAGAGTGCAAAGCCATAAACAAATTCTGCCTTCGAGCATGCTCTGGAATAAGCCGGCGGACTGTTTCAGCAGGGATGCCCTCAAGTTCTGCCACAAAATTTACATGAGGCATCTAGGGTTCATGAGAAGTCAGGAAACCCCAAGAACTGAGAAGCTAAGAGTCAAAAATTTTAAGATGTGACACACGTCCATTTTAGGGAAACACTGCATGAGCTACTTGGCAGCCTCAGATGGTACTTGAGTGCTACTCTTAAATACCACTTGAGAGTAACATGTAGCATGATTAAGATACTCTAGTTTTTCTGGCCAAGGCACCCTAACAAATTGAGAAAGGAATAGTTCAGTGAGGACGAAGACCAACCTTGAGGTTTAAAATTAAACAGTGGTGGAAGAGGACGTCCATTTGGAAGTCTGCTGTTAGGGTCTCTTAATTCATCAAAGAAAGGGTGAATACAAGCTTCCAACTGCAATTCCACAAACATAAAATTGATAAATCATAATTTGAGCATGGTGCTAACTGATTTCATGTACAAATCTGATCTTACAGCAGTGCATCTCAAATTTGGAGAGTACTGGAAAAACCGACACACCAGGTCCACAGCCTCTGGGGGCAAACACTTTTGGAAGACCTACAAGATGATGAAAAATGTCGCAACAATATTTCACAGACAAGAAACATGCATCCTGAGTGATGATAACAAGAATATTAAAGGTCTCTGTCTTTTTTGCAGATGGCCAAAGAGATAAACCTGACCACGCATCAAGATGCTATAAAGCATCCTACATCCAATTGCAACAGTCAAAAGGCAAAGGACTGTTCAATAGTTAAGTTGCCCTTATATGAACAGTAAATAAAAAAAATAACATTAAAGCAAGCATCTGAAAAGATGAGCTCCACAATCTTGGTCATCATCACATCAAACGTATTTCAAGGCAATTGCATCGTGCACAGACAATTCACTGTCAAAGCCCGAGCTTGAAGAAAGCTCCTTACAAGGGAATCTAGCATGTTGACCGTGTAAGCAATTGCAAAGACAGAGAACTTCGTTATGATCATGCAGAAGGATCCCAATTCTATATGAACACTAAATTATCTCTATCAGTTTTATGTAAGTTGAAGGCTCCATAAAAAAAAAAGAGTGGCAAGCCCCATAAGCATCAATATCAGGAAAATTCATCTGCAGAACCTTATCAGACACACTACAAAGTTGGCAGCATACCTGAGCGCACTTGAGGAAATAATAGCGTCAAGATTAAACTTAGTTTCATCTTTTATTGGGTATAGTTTTCAACCCACAGCCTTTATCAATCTAATATAAGGTCCACCAATGGTGCCTTCTATGAGATACTTAATACAGATAACACGTGTCTTGAATGAATTTAAATGTCTAACTCATTATCCAACTCCAAATGAAAGCAAAATCACATCAAGGTAGTGATTACTTAGCTATAGTATGAGAATATGATGCCAATTTCATATCCGAAAAGCGAATATTGTAATAACAAGTGCAACTATGACACCAATCAGCTGATAAAGAAACAGCAAAAAGATAGGAAGTGTACAAACCTTGTGCCACGGATGTGGCTTTATCTGAGGAAACTTAAATTCAGTGTAGTTTGGATTCATGCATTTTATCTCCTCTCTGGTAGGTGTTCCTAAAACCTGCCCAAAACACAAATTCACTCAAGGTATTAGTCTGACTTTGTTTGCTGCAACTCTTAAAAGATACTAATGGTGATATAAGCAATTTATGTACTAAACAAGCTTATGCACATTCGAGTAATCTTCTTTCTAAAGTTGTTA